CATAGGGAAAGGGGAAAAAAAAGTCTTGGAAGTATGCAAAATACAGTATCACCGTTGTAACCGAAAAAAGGTGAAAGACTAACAAATGTATTCTTACAGATTTAAAGTGGCTTCATTTTAAATAAGGTAATTATCTGGAACAGTCCTGGTTTACCCCTATTGTCTTAATGTAGAGCGTTAATAAGAGACTTTAATCGTGAATGCTTAACTGAACTTCGGTAGTCATTTAACATTTTATTCACCAAAAGTGTATTTTCTTGTCATTTCCTCCTATAATTACTGGGGGCAAAATACTATAATATTTAAAATGTGCTCAATGACTGGCATCCTCTTTACCCCAAAAAATGTTTGGATTTGTGTGATAAATAATGTCGTTTCCCTAGTTATGAGAACTTTATTTTCTACTAAGATTTAAAATAATCATCAGTGAGAGTTTGTGGTCTGTAGTCTCCAGTTTTATAAATTATAACCATCTATATAGCTGTGCTTTTAAAAATACTTATATACTTAGGCTTTTAAAAATACTTATTTACTATTTTTTTCCACTATCATAAACTACACTGAGGTTTTCCTTTTTTATGCAATTACTATTGACCCTTGGTTTTTATTTATTTATTTATTTATTTATTTATTTATTTTTTAATTGCAGGCTAATCGAGGCAGCAGAAGGGCAAAGTTGTTTGAAATGTAGGTTGGTAATTTTGGCAGTGGAAATTTAGACATTTGGAATTTTACCCAATCTATGAAGCCCACTGAGATGACGACAGACACATAAATTCATTTAAAGACCATGTATCTTTAAAAAAAAAAAAAACTTTTGTTATATCATACTCATATTAATTATGAGAATACAGTCATATTTTTCTTTATCACTCACCTTCTCTTTTTTTTTCTCATCTTTCATTTTTATTTTTAGTTGGCTAAAACACTCTCTCCATTTCTCCCCAGCAACCTCATTCTGGCTTCTTGCTTTGTGAAGTCTGTCTGTGAACTTCTGTGGTGATAGAGTAAATGAAGTAGGAGTAGAGATTCTGTAAAGGTGAGTGTCAAGTACTGCCCTAAAAAATATGGAAAATTCTGCTGCTGGTTTCTTTTTCTCAACATTAGGATTTTGTTAAGCCCTGATCCATAGTGTTATGCTGTGTGCCAACTATTACCATATGTTCTTTTATTTATATCAGTCACTAAATGCTATCTTACTGGATGAATTTCACTAGGGGCAGGAAACCAGAGGCTGCAGCTACAGGGATGACATAGCGCAGGCCACTTTGAGACCGCCTCCCCAAGAAAGACTTTCCTGGAGAGCTAAAATTGTAGAGATATGAGTGGCCCAAAAGCCACAAGCAGTAATCAATCAACTAATCATAATTCCAAAGGATGAGATAATGTTCCCATAGTGTATCATTAGTGTGATGAGTTTATTTCTTTAAGGCCTCACAACCTGCTGATATACTGTGGTTTTTCTTGGTCCTATCTCTTTATTTTTTACCACCTCTGATCTCTTTAAACCCACTCTGTTTCCATTTTCCTCCCTTCCCATTGTTTCCTCCTTTTTCCTTAACACTTCTTCCTTAGATTAATCTTTAAATACAAATGGAAATAATAATCAGATTATTTTTCATGAGGAAACCACCTTTCCATTTCATTATTCACAAATAGAATAATGAAATAAAGCTGTTTACAGAAATGCATATAGAAGATCAGACAAAAATGATATAGACCAAACATTGTTCTTGAATAGTGGTATCAAATGTAAAATTATGAATAAAATCTTAAAAGACTTTTGGTGTATTTTCATATTAAAGGGTTATTTTGCATTTATCAAGTATCACTGTTTGGGGGAAAATGTAATCAATTACAGTCGTTCCATATATTTCTTTTTTCCGCCTCCTGATTTTTCATGCTTGAAACCATCCTGGAAAGCTTCCAGAATTGTTACAAATGAAGTTATGCTTTGGTCAGTGTTAGTAAGGGCCTATGATCCATAGGCGTAAAACTCCAGGACAGGGATGAGTAGTTTTGTTTTCTTCAGCCCCTTGTAGAAATTCCACATTACTTAACTGAATAGACCCATTGATGAGTGGAGAATGGCTAAGAGTGGAAACAGCTCCACTCTCTACCTCTGTAATTTTGAAACAAAAAATTCCATTTGAGGGCGTTAATAAGAGACTTTAATCGTGAATGCTTAACTGAACTTTGATAGTCATTTAGCATTTTATTCACCAAAAAGGAATTTTCTTGTCCTTTCCTCCTATAATTACTGGGGGCAAAATACCGTACTATTTAAAATGTGCTTACAGAAACTACTAGGAGGCAGAACTAGAAGCAAATTCTTCTTGGGTTCTTCCCTGGCTTTTCAGAGAGAGAGAGAGAGAGAGAGAGAGAGAGAAGGCCAGATATTTTTATTATAAATTCCCTGACAGAAATAAAGACATGATAAGATAAGAAACTCACAGAGTCAGTAACTTGTTCAGGATCACAAAGCCAGAAAGTGACAGAAATCTGAACCCAAGAAACCATGACTGGAGCCTGCTCTTTAAACCACTGTACTCTCCTGCCTCCTTGAAGTAATCAAGATGGTGTATATCATTTAAATACCATTTTACCATGAAGACTGTGGAGACCCTGGCACATAAGACCTCCATAAATTTAGTGAATGTTTTGCCTCTTAAATATAGAGATGAAAAAACATTATAATAGTTATTTAATAGAAGAAAGGATTCATTTACAGTTACCAGGGATACAGCTCTAGCAATCTTGCCTGTTAGGTCTTCAAAGAACTGATCATTTGAGAGGTGGAAAGGGGCTCCTCCTCTCCTGCTATACTCACTTACTGCACTTACCCATTCCAGCAGCTTCTACCAATACCTCCCGTCTTACCCTCCTGGGCTTTGGGGAAATTAAAGTAGCCTTTTATGAGTAAGTCAGGGGTCTCAGGTCTAAGGAGCTGTTAAGTGAGCAATAGGTACTCAATAAACTAAGTATTATGAACAAAACTGTATATGTCTATGTAAGGAAGAGGGGTGGCCATCAGAATTTATGTTTAGACGCCGTTTTCCTAGAAGTGATGTAAACGGACTCTTGCTACTCTATCTGCACTCTAATCTGAATCTACTTAAGGTGCATCAGTATCTGTACCAAGAAGGTTGTCTGTAAACATGAAAGATGCTCACTGGCTTGTGGGGAAGCTGAACCTATATCCTCAGCAAAATATGGTGATAGCTAACTCAGGTAACCAGCCATATTCCACAGCAGCATCTTCACTCAGTAGCTCTGGTTTGGAGCTCCTGCTCTGTGTCTATAATGGCCACAGATGTAGGAATATTCACTTTTTTTCCAATCTGTAGAGCTAGCCTACTGCAGTTCTCAAACTGATCTCAGAGGGAGGACTTAACTGGATGAAACTACTAGGCTGACAGTAGCACCTCTTGATTATCTTTTCCTTGGGCTACTGGGATGGTAGCTGGTTTCTAACTCCTTTCAAGTTGCTTCAATTCAAAACTGGTGTCAAGGAAAGGAACCTGCTGGTGCTGATTTATACATAATTTTTAGAATTACTCAGAAATGGTGAGTTGGACCAATTATTTTATTCCAGAGTTTTTCAATGTGTGATAATGGAAAAAATTCTGTATTCAAGGGAGTTCGGAAAATGCTGGGTTAAAAGAGTGAAAAGGTCTTCTCTTCTACACGAGTTTCAGAGCCTTCAACATGAAAATGTTCCGGAATGAGGAATCTAAGAGGACAGGAGAGTACCCAGTATCTCCCAGACTTGTTTGACCCCAGAATTCCTGTTTGTCAGAACATATTCTGGGACCACTGTTTCTCACAAGTACATAGTAGGTAAGAACATAGTGGATCCTGACTGCAAAAATCCAGCTCTACCACTTACTGTGGTCTCGAACAAAGTACTTAACTTCTTTGTACCTGTCTCCTCATCTGCCAAATATGGATAATAATACCTACTTTATAGGTTTATTGTGAAGATTAAATGACCATACACAACACACATCAAATTACTAAGTGTAGTATATGTTAGCTATTATTATTTTATTTATTCAGTGCTCTACTAATAATCTAGGCCCCATATACATCTAAAGTATAAATTTCAAAAGTGATAGAAAGTTCTTTGTGACTTTTCTGAACTAGGGAACATCTGAACTAGGGAATAGTATAGAGATCTTGGGTTTGGGGGTAAATTCAACAGAGTTTCCAATTTAAATCATCTGTCTAGTCAGTATGGCTGCAGAGTCATGCCGAAATGAAAATGTTGACTTTGAGTAACTAAAGGTAAAATAAAAGAAAAAGGGAAAGTGGAACAGTGGTAAGAGTTATTCTTGTATTCATCTAATTTAGACTTGGTTGAAATTGAAAATGTCAAGTTATGAGTAGTGTAGAACAGTAGACATCAAACACTAAAATTCCAGCTTCCTGGATTAATGCTGTGAAAAGAATGAAGTTGGTTGATAATGTTTAGCCTAGCAAGAAGGTGAAGAGAAAGCCATACAAGAAGTGGCTTAGGCAGCAAATGATAAAGGTGACCATTCATTCAAATCAGTGAAACAGACAAATATACCTTATTCTTTAGGTAAAATTGATGGATCTCTGTTTTCCAGCAGTTCATAAACAGAGGGCTATATTGTAAACAACAAACTAACAAAATAAACTCTAGGATGACAACCTGTTAAGGCATCCCAGAAAATTAGAGGTAGGACATGAATTTAAAAGATTGGAAGGTATGTCTTCAGGACTGGCCTGGCCCTGAGTAGACTGGTGCTCCCTCCCACAGGGGTGTGTGTGCACACATAATACAGGAGGAAAGCCTTCCATTCTAGGGCAAGTGATTCAGTTTGGGAGGCTGTGACTGAGTTCCACTAAGTAAAAACGGGAAACTTGATTGTCCTTCAACAGACCTGTCCAAAATGACTAGAAAGTAAATACCGTAAATCACTATTGTCAGGGCGCACATTCCACCGCCTTCCTCCCTTCCCCACAGCGGTCCTCATTTCCACACCCCCTCAACGGTTAGGGGAGAGCTCGTGGTCTAAGTAACGAGAGGACTTCTGACTGTAATCCTAGCACGTCACTTTGTTGAAGGCAGACACGTGGTTCAGAGAGAACTTATAAATCTCTCCTCTCCGGCAAGATCGTGATGTTATCTGCTGGCAGCAGAAGGTTCGCTCCGAGCGGAGCTCCAGAAGCTCCTGACAAGAGAGAGACAGATAGAGATAGAAAGAGAAAGACAGCAGAGTGAGAGCGCAAGTGAAAGAGGCAGGGGAGGGGGATGGAGAATATCAGCCTAACGGTCTAGGGAGTCATCCAGGAACAAACTGAGGGGGCTGCTCGGCTGCAGACAGGAGGAGGCAGAGAGGGTCTATTTTAGGGTGGCAAGTGCCTACCTACCCTAAGCGAGCAATTCCACGTTGGGGAGAAGGCAGGAGAGGTTGGGAAAGGGTGGAAGTCCAAGGGAGCCCCTGCGCAACCCCCTCAGGAATAAAACTCCCCAGCCAGGGTGTCGCAAGGGCTGCCGTTGTGATCCGCAGGGGGTGAACGGAACCGCGACGGCCGATCGTCTGTGGCTGGGTTGGCGTTTGGAGCAAGAGAAGGAGGAGCAGGAGAAGGAGGGAGCTGGAGGCTGGAAGCGTTTGCAAGCGGCGGCGGCAGCAACGTGGAGTAACCAAGCGGGTCAGCGCGCGCCCGCCCGGGTGTAGGCCACGGCGCGCAGCTCCCGGAGCAGGATCCGCGCCGCCTCTGCAGCCTCTGCGGCCCCTGCGGCACCCGACCGAGTCCCGAGCGCGGTGCGAAGCGCACCCTCCTCCCCGCGGCGCGCCGGGCTCGCCCCCAGCGCGCGCACACGCGCGCACACACACACACACACACACGCACACACGTGTGCGCTTCTCTGCTCCGGAGCTGCTGCTGCTCCTGCTCTCAGCGCCGCAGTGGAAGGCAGGGCCGAACCGCTCCTTCTTTAAATATATAAATTTCAGCCCAGGTCAGCCTCTGCGGCCCCCCTCACCGCGCTCCCGGCGCCCCTCCCGTCAGTTCGCCAGCTGCCAGCCCCGGGACCTTTTTTCATCTCTTCCCTTTTGGCCGGAGGAGCAGAGTTCAGATCCGCCACTCCGCACCCGAGACTGACACACTGAACTCCATTTCCTCCTCTTAAATTTATTTCTACTTAATAGCCACTCGTCTCTTTTTTTTTTCCCCCATCTCGTTGCTCCAAGAATTTTTTTTTTTTCTTACTCTCCAAAGTCAGGGTTCCCTCTGCCCGTCCCGTATTAGTATTTCCACTTTTGGAACTACTAGCCTTTTTTTTTCTTTTTTTTTTTTAAAGGAATTCAAGCAAGATACGTTTTTCTATTGGGCATTGACTAGATTGTTTGCAAAAGTGTCGCATCAAAAACAAAACAAAACAAACAAACAAACAAAAAAAAACAACTCTCCTTGATCTATACTTTGAGAATTGTTGATTTCTTTTTTTTTTCTTCTGACTTTTAAAAACAACTTTTTTTTTCCACCTTTTTAAAAAATGCACTACTGTGTGCTGAGCGCTTTTCTGATCCTGCATCTGGTCACGGTCGCGCTCAGCCTGTCTACCTGCAGCACACTCGATATGGACCAGTTCATGCGCAAGAGGATCGAGGCGATCCGCGGGCAGATCCTGAGCAAGCTGAAGCTCACCAGTCCCCCAGAAGACTATCCTGAGCCCGAGGAAGTCCCCCCGGAGGTGATTTCCATCTACAACAGCACCAGGGACTTGCTCCAGGAGAAGGCGAGCCGGAGAGCGGCCGCCTGCGAGCGCGAGAGGAGCGACGAGGAGTACTACGCCAAGGAGGTTTACAAAATAGACATGCCGCCCTTCTTCCCCTCCGAAAGTAAGTACTCATTTTGACTTCCATCCCCCGAGGTTTAGCGCTGCCCGGAGCTCTCAAAAACGCAGCAGCTCCCGGAATCGCCCTTCCCTCTCGCGGTTCCCGTTCGCTTTTTTCCCATTCTCCTGTCCTTCGCCCCATCCACCTCCTTTCCAGTTGTATGCCTGAGGCCACTAGGCTTTAAAACGTTTACTTTGTACTTTATTTTCTCCATCTTTCCCTTCCCCCTAACAATTCAGCGCTTTAAAAGGCGTTATTCTCTTTTTCTCTTCACTGAAGTTCTTTAGTCCGCCACCAGCTAGCAGTCAGCCCCACTCTGTCAAACTGAGGTGCTCCCAGGGGCAGAGTTAAACTGGGGAATCTTGGTAGGTTTGTTTTCTTTGCTCCGATTGGCGTGGAGCGCGCCGAACTGGTGCACGAAGGGTTAAAAAAAAAGTGTCTCAAAGCTAGCCTCTCCGGAAAGCGCCCCCTTTCCGTGCTGACCTATCAACTGGTTCCCCAAGTCTTCTCTATTGTCTCTAACTCCCCTAAAAATGTCAGCATCGCCGAGACAAAACCCGGTTTGGAGACCCCTCGAGAAACCTACCTGGAAACCCTCAGTCCTTGATGTGTCGTTTGCTATCACTAGGTGTTTCTTTACCCAAAGGCAAAATCCTATAACCACGTTCCGTTTTCACTTCACCTGGAGTGTAGAAAGGACAACTCCGTTTCTGACTGTTTTAAAAGGTTTTAGTTCACGTTATTTTTCAGAATACACTCAAACCTGCCTTCTTCAGATCTCCAGTGTAGCAGATCATTTTTCTTACGGGTCTGTTATCCTGCTCCTGCCTTTTCGTAGGCTTCCTGCACTTACTTCAATGCATTCCTAAAACTCAGAGTAGATGATAGCCGTTTTTTTTTTTTTTTTTTTTTTTTCCAAACTGGCTTCTCTGAGAACAGTGTCCTCAAAACCAGCTGGCATACGGTAGCAATAGGAGTGAAATGATTTATTGTAGAGGAAAGGAAGAGACAGTGTAGAATTATTTCAGAGTGAAAAAGAGAGAGAGAGAGAGAAGAAAGAAAAGAAAAGAGGCAGCATCATTCACTGATACCTGAGAGGGTTAAATACCAGGAAGAAGAAAAAGCAAAGTGGGGGCGGTGGGGGGTGGGGGGAACCTCTTCAACATTTGTGTATTCCAAATCGCAAGTCATAAACTTTTCATTGGTTGCTCATTTCTCTCCTCCCCTTTCCATGCCCTATATACTTGCTGGCTGCCTTTGCAAAGTCCCTGTGTCTTGCCTAAATAGATAATACAGCCATCTTGGTAATTTTATCTTAAAGGTTCTAATTGCAGGGTGATGCTTTTCTTTTTTAATATTTATTTTTAATTTGGCAAGTCCTAGCTATGTGACCTGCCATGTCTTGTACTTGATGGTCTCGGAAGTCAGCCCATGTATCTAACCCCAGTCTTCCTAGTGACCTTTATTTTGCTGCAACTTCTCCTGTTCTTGTTCAATAGCAGAACAGATGCAGAGAATTCTGGCAAGCAGGATGATTTTATTATTGTAATTATGGCGCTATCCATAACAGTGGTGATAAATACACTCCGCCCCTGGGTATCCCCTTTGAGAAGTAAAGTTTTCTATCTGAGGTGGAGCCAAGGAGATATTAGGAAAGAAAGTTCATTAATTAGTCCAGAACCATTGAGACAAACAAAGAGTTGAGTCAGTTTGCTTTCTCTAGCACGTGCATTGGTTCTACTGGTATTTGGGTAGAGCGGAGAGTATGTTATGTAGAACCTGAATAGCTCATCTTTCAATGTTTATATGCAAGAGGTCTAATAAACTCCCAGTGCTTTTATAACACAGAAAGGAGCTCTGATCTCATTACTGAATAGGTGTGGAGAGAGCAAGTAACCCAAGAGGGCATTAGTTCTTTGTTCTCTCAAACACATTTCAGTCTGAGGAGCTGAGATGGTCCAACCCGGGGTCATGGTCATCAACAAACTGGAAAAATTTCTAGATTATTAGGAGAATTTCAGAGTATGGCATTTAACATCAATGTGTGGATTCTCCTCTCCATTTCACCCCAGCCACCAAATAAATGAAAACCTCCGATACATCCAGGATAAATAAAATATGCTGCCAGTTTTCATACAAAGAAAACAGGCTTTAAAAAGTCTGTATTCTGTGTGGAAGTTTAGGAGCAGAAAGCCATATTAATAGCAGGTCCGATACTACTGTGCAAGGACTGGATAATTTTATAGAAAATAGGTTAACTGATTTTCCAGCACTTTCTAGTTATACTGGAATATAGCAAACCTTTCCAAAAAAGAAAAAAGAAAAAAACGTATTTTTAAAAAGCAAATTGAAAGTACAGTATTGGCTTATATACTAGCTTTCCCTCTTTAGGACTTTTCTGCCTAACTTTTAACTCAGCTGTCACTGAAGTGGCTGTGGGGAGGGAGTGTGCCTGCCATTCCTTGCAGTGAATCTGGCGAGGGTCATAAGCCCCAGAGATGAAGGCATGGGAAAGATCACTGGTTCATTTTTTACCACCAACTTATTAGCGTTCAGGGAGTGACTTCAGCTCAAGTATTACAAATATGCTCTAATTATACTCAATGAGCTATATATCATTACAGATTGCTGATAGCCCTTTGTGGGACATTTTATAAAGTTCAGACTACATATTTTTAGCAATGTGGAGATTTAAAAATAAAAATATAAGAGATATTGTATATGCCCTCAGGCATATTTTGTCTTAAATATTATCCTTGGCCAAGTGTACTATATAAATACAGTAAATATGAATAGAACTGGCCAGGTGCCAATCTCCTAGGATGAATTTTAGTCAAGAATGTATTTATGGGCTATAAATAATACTGTGTCAACATTTAAAGAAGGAGTCTGATTAGTTTTGAATTTATTCGTATTGATCTTTTCACGTGCTGTTAGTTTAAGACTCAAAGTGGAGTTATGCTAAGGTTTACCGATAGTTTGCCCACTGGGAATTAGTGGACCTCTAGTAGTTTAACAATCCATTTGAAGTTCGAGGCACATCTATTCGAAAGATGCTGCACAAGGTTTTAGAAACTTAGAAACGGTGATTCAGTTATACACAGGAAGAATTCAAATAATTGACATGTAAAAATCTGTAGAGAGTTGGACAATCAAAAAGAGGAAGAGACACAAAGTTTCATTGTCTTTCTTTTCTCTCCCCTTTTCACTGTAACCAGTCAGCACATGTTGTGGTTCTAACCCTGGTGATTTCGTACTGCCGCCATCCCCCCACCTCTACTCCCACTGGAACATTTGGCAATGTCCAGAGACACTTTGGGTTGTCATGACTGGAGGTGGAGGGGTGCTACTGGCATTCAGTGGGTCAGCCAGGGATGTTTCTAACCATCCTATAATGCACAGGGCAATGCCCCCTCCCAACACCAAAGAATTATCCTGGCCACCATGTCAGTAATGCCCCTGTTGAGGAGCCCTGGTATTTGTTTGGGGTTACTGAATTCTGTTAACAGTACCATTTAGAAAATAATAACAAAAATAAAATATCTTTATGATCAAAGGATATTCAAATGAGAATACTGAATAGGAGGATAGTCAGACACTTATCTTAATTAAATGGAGTGTGGATTAGACCATTGTATATGGTATGTACTTTATTTTTTGTGGTCTTAAATTAGAGACATCAAAACTTCCCATTTATTTAGCTTAAATGATGGTGTTGAGCTATCCATTACTAGCTTCAGTCAGCAGCAGTGTGATGTTAGAACAGAGAAAAAAGAAGTGAGGTATTATCATGGATTCTCCTTGCAAGGGAAATAAGCAGTTTATGTTAATAAAGAGTGGAATCTCCAAGCTAGGCAACGGAAGAAAGTAAATAATCATCTCGATTTATTCTACCATTTTGAAGTAGGTACACTGAAAATATACAGCCTGAAAAATCACAATGAGATTTCCTTTGTAGTTGTTTCACATGAATGTTAAACATTTAACATGAAGCAATCTCCTTTTCTATTTCCTCTGTAATTTTCCAAGTTAAATTGTGGAATGTAGAATGAATACCAATGACACTATGGTTTTGGGGAATGTGACTTAGCATTCAATTCATGAATATGTCTTTCTATATACAAGTTGCTGGTCTGTTGGCCAGTTGCCCAATGAAGGGAAATGTTAGCCATTGCTGGAACATAGTGGTATTTTTGCTTTATGTAGTAAGCATTTTTACTATTTTATTTTTTAGGATTCCCTGTGTGTGTGTTTGTATGTGGGTGTAAGAGAAACAGAAAGAAAAAGGAGCATATCAAAGACAGACTTGAACTCCTTGACTTCCAGAATGATTGAGTTATTAATACACAACAGACCAAACTTTAATTCTCCCTTTTTTATTGCATCGTTGCTTGTACTAACTCTAGTGCCTAATTGTGGTTACATTTAAGTTAGGCCACATGCTCCTCCTTCAGGATTTCCTCTTTTTTTACTTTTCAAAGACTAGAAAAACCTCTCAAAGAAGTATACTATTTATAACTAAAGCAGTTGGGTTGTCTGTGTTGCCAAGTGAGGCCAGCCAGCTTTATGCCTTTCCTGAGAAGACCCCACCCGATGAAAGAGGGGCTTTGCAGAGGTTGAGGGGCAGGTGGGGACCTCTCCACCTCACAGAAGGAAGGGGTTGGGGGAGGCCACTGTGTCTCCACAGCAACCCCTGTGGTCTACTCGAGGAGTTGCACTTTTTGAATGACGACTTCTCCCTGGAGAAAAGATGGTGATGTAACCTAGTCGCAGCATCTTTCATATAAAGATATGAAAGAATGACAGATCATTTTTCCTAGAGGAAACTGAGATGTGAAAAAAGGGCTAATGACTCACTGTTGAACCCACATCACATCTGGGTTAGAACCAAGGAGGTCACTGACTTGTAGTCCTTTGCCCAGAGATTACAACACACTTTAGGCTGCATATTTAGAAGGTTCGAGAAATTAGAGAGGAGGCTCCTGGACCTGGGAGAAGTGTGC